AATATAGTTATATATTATAACTATATTATAATATTACAGTTCAGTCTTAGAAGTTGGGTGTACGGAGCCCTCATTTCTCCAAGTTGTTAAAAAAAGCTTGTAAAGCTTGTATATATATATATATATATATATATATATATATATATATATACACACACACAATCCCACCCCCACACGTGTTATAGTTTGAGTTTCCCCTTCCTTGTGCAAGTGGATTATCTATCTGTCATCACTGTTGGTCCAAAAACCTGTATCAAAATGGTAATTAATAAGTATAGGGAAAAATAAAGGGGATCTTTTTCAGTATTTGTAGACCATTTTTACTGGTCCATTCATCATGGAATTTCCACACAACATAAAGCACAGCTGGCACATCTGACAGGGACAATATATACATTACAAACGGGACTTTCTGAACACTGTATTAAAACAACTGTGTGTGTGTGTGTCCTGTAAAGGATGACTGTCTGGTTAAAGGCCAGTTTAATGCTGTGTGACACACTTGACAGTGTTGTGCTGAGTCCCTGCTTTATCTAATGTCTTTTCTTCCACTGCTCAGCAAAAACGTAACCAACTGTACCCTCTTCTTCCATTAATACACACATCTACTGCTTGTGTGTGTGTGTGTGTGTGTGTGTGTGTGTGTGTTTATACAGTCTGTGTGTTATACAGTCCTGAGTCAGCATCAATCTGGCTATGACTGCTTCTCAGTCTGCTATCTAGATACATGCACTGGCTCTCTATAATTGGTCAAAACATCTTTTTTATAACACATGCAGTCATCCAGTCTTGTAGAAGTACTGATGATACCCATGACACCAAAAAAGCATATTATGGCATAATTTATCACAATAAAAATAACATGTCATATGACGAGCCCCTCACTGGACGTTTCCATTTGCAAAAGGCTATACTACGGCCACAAAGACATTCACATGGGATTTACATTACACCACCATCTGTACTACTGTACACAAGACAAGACAGATCCATGGTACATGCTGTTTATACCCAATTCTGACCCTAACATCTGTACCTCACAGCACAGATCATGATTTATTAGAGCAGGCAATGCTTTTTCCAACCGTCAGTCAGATTTGGTGATCACATGCCCACTGTGGCCTCACCTTCCTAAACCTAGCTGACAAGAGAATGACTGAATGACTCTGATCATGACTGATCATATTAACAAGCTTTAAGAAATTACAAACTTATCAAGAGCGGAACTCAAAGTGATGAGTTGTCTTTTCACAGTAGAAGGATGGACAGAAACATCTGTGGATTTTTTCAGACCTGAAGCAAGAGTGGAGCTTGATTTTCTCCTCTCTCTCAAAGATGAAAGCTTTAAGTGCTGTTTATCTGATGGTGACACCAGGTCTCACACGTTTGTCAGGAGTGCCATTTTCATTTTTTTTCTTCAAATTTTCATTTTTTTTAATAATAACTCCAGTTTTGGAAACTTGTGTTTTTTATAACTTACTTTCCTTTGACCTTCTCCTTCCTTATGCAAATAGATTATCTTGTACTGTATCTAATCTCCTCAGAAATATCTCCTGAAAAAATACTGGAAATCATATAATGCATCATACTATATTCTGTAAACTGTAGTTAATGTTGTGCAGGATAATCCAAGCAACAACTGATCTGGCACCAACTATCTTGCTGGAAAATCACCTACTTATTCATTTTGCCCATAATGTTATCTGCTGTAACAACTAAACCTTCTCAGCATTTGTGCATGGTTTTTATAGTGAGTAGCAGCCACATGATTTGGTGCTTGTAAAGATACAGTATATCTAATATAGTGGCCACTGAGTATCTGTTTGAATTCTGGTGGACACAGCATGAACAGGATTTTCCAAATATTTTTTTAAATATATGGATGGTTATGGTGTGAGTATGAGTGTATGTGTATGAAAGTGTGTGTCTGTGTGTGTGTGTGTGTGGGTGTGTGTGTGTGTGTGTGTGAGAGAGATTGTGTAACCTGAAGGTCGACTGTTTTCCTTGACTGCCTGTCAAACACAGTTGCTTTGATGTTAGACATTTAGATAAGGAGAGAGAGAGAGAAAGAGAGAGAAAGAGAGAGGAGAGAGAGAGAGATTAAAAGTGACGCTCCCACATGCAGGCAACAAAGGGAGCAGAGAATGTCAAAATTAAAATGGTCTTCAGCTTCAAAAAAAAGAAGAAATAAAATAATAATGATGAAACACATGTTTTGCCTCGTCTAGGTCTCATGGTAATTATGAGCAGCGTGATGATGATTAATTCAATAATTCGATTGTCATTGTTTCCTCGCCCAAACCTAATTAACTTCTAAATGCGCTTTACAAAAACAAGAAAGAAAAAAGTGTGCTGGCTTCGTTAATGTCAGATTCAGTAAATGTAGTCCTCATTCTAATAATGAGGCTTCTAGCTGATAGGAGTATAATTTTGATGAATGCAATTATTTCGGATAATAAACGGATTTACCACAATTTACTGAAGGTACAATAGACAATATTCAAAACATACATTACAGCTGTGACCTAGTCAAAGTACACAGTGCAGAAAAGTTACAGTTATAACCTATAAGCCAAAATATAAGCCTAATTGTGCAACTAATGAGCTGTGAAAATGTGTTGACTAAAGACACATTGTAGTTTGACACAGACGCTTAAAAAACATGCCATGATAACTAAAATCTAGAACCTGTGTGCTTTATCTCTCATCTGAGGGCAAACACAAACGGGCAGTGTGATTGTCTGTGGAGCAGTAGACCCAATGCTGCTGACGCTGGCTGGTAGTCAGTCCAAGTCCAATAACCACAGATATGAGTCAGAGCTTATCTACTGTGTGTTTTGAGTCAGAAGTGAACACCCTGTGGACAGTGCCCTAAAAACTCACACAGCTTTCACTGCTCTGGTCACTGAGGAGAGGCTCAACATAACATATTCTCCTTTTTAACCTTCAGAAGTCAAAGGCACTAACAAAAGCATGTTCCAGTTTTACAGTACTGTGAAAAAGTCTTATAACAATATGTAAAGCTGATTATCTGGGCAGTGTTTACAGTGTACTAATCACAAACATTAGAATAAATACAAAAAACAGTGCATTGTGGTTTCGTGCGTCAGTGTGTTAGCTAAACCATTTCCAAAGCTCTCATTGAGGAAGTTCAGTATTTACAGTACCCATCCAATACCTGGCTTATCTAATCAATCCTTCATTACATTAAATCAGGTGCTGCTGATGGAATTTAACAAATCCACGCAATGGGTGGTGTACAATGAGAAGTCAGGAACCAAACCTATGTTCTTCTAACTGCATTTATATAACAAAGATGTTAACAACATGAAACCAAACTGACAACTCATTCTGAGAATTTGGCGACAGCATTTAACTTGTTTAAATCTTCCACCAGAGGAGTTATGAGTGAAATGTATCAGTGTGTAGAAGCTGTTTCTATTACTGTATAAAAAAAAACATCTGCTATTCAGATCAGTAAGACCCAAAACTGTTTTGTTTAATTGGAGTAACTATGAAATGTGACTGATGTGTGGCTCACATTGCAATTCATGCCTTTTCTTGTTCATAAAGGTAGTGAGACAAACTAAAGAAGTTGATGAACTTTTGGCTTTGTCAGATCATGTTTTTCACGAGGTAAAGAATGTTTTTTATCCTCTGCTAAAAAGTTCTGGGAGATACTTGTTTTTGTTTTTCGACAGCAACAATTGATTCTAATGTTTTATAGTATTTTACAGGCAATTACTTGTCACTCATAACTCATTGAGACAAGTGAGGAAATTGAGAAATTTTGTCAAAGAGAAAGAAATGTTCAACCCATATCACGTTAGTGTTTATAAAAAAGAAATATTTTTATTGTAATTTTAATTTGATTAGGTACATATTGTTATAGGTAGGTACATTTTGCAGTGTTTATGGCAGTATTTTACATCAATACAAATGCAGCCTGTTGGTATAGTGTGTAAAGTCATTGCAAATGTAATTTATTATGGAACAAACTATATACTTATACTATAATTATACTGTTACTACTATACAATGTAGTAAATTGACAATAAATTTACATTTCTAAGGGTTAATAATGTACAAGTAAGGATACAGACAAACTACTTTCTGCCATCATACATAAACCTTTCATTTACTTTTTCCTGATGTCTTTATCATGAGAAACTTTATGAAGGTGTCCCTAGGCCGGCCTGACTGATCCTGTAGAAGAGAAAAGGTTTTGGAGCTGCTTCAGGGTGAGATTAGTCTAAAGACATTCTTCATCTCTGGCCCTCTGTAAGGCTAAGTCCAGGTTTCAATGAAGGAGCCTCAGGGCACAGGAAATGTCTGACTCCTCTTAGCCCATGCCAGAAGCTCACCTGCGCAGCTCCACCTGTGGCTCTACACAGCTCTGTGTGTTCAGATACGCCTAAGCTCATTGTCCCAGCCTTAGGGACCCAGCTCAGAGCAAAGACATCACAGAGAATGGAGCTCAGAGCTCAGATAGAAGGAGCAGATGATGTCATTAACCCTTCAACTTCAAGGGTTTGTAATGTCCCAAGTAAATAACTTATACATTCGCTTCATAGTCTACATAAGTGATAGTAGTTAACAGTGGTGTAAATCTCTGATCTCACAATGATTTAAAATTATTCAATTTGACTCAATTCAGTTCTTTCAGTGTGCTACCATGTATTTCTTACTGTGTGAGAGATGCATCAGTATTTTTTTTTATTTTCAAATGAGCACGAGTGCTATTCAGATCAGTAAGACCTTATTATCGATTCATTCAAACCAAGCAACTATATGATATGTGACCTATTCATGTCTTTTCTTGTTCATAAAGGTAGATTAGCATAAAAGTACTTTGTGAGGCAATGTGATTCAATTGGAATTGATTCAGTTCTTCATGGTTTATAAAATCCCAAATTTCACCATAATTTCATCAGATTTGATTGTGATGGGATTCAAAATGGGGCAGGCAAAATGACCACTGTTATCTGTTGGCCTCTCACCTTCCGCGGGGGACATCCACGTCATCTTTTCTCCAACGAACAGATGGCTGAGGATCTCCCTGCACCTGACAACGAAACTCCACTGCTTCTTCCTCCAGGACCACCTGGTTTATGGGCCTCCGCAGGAACGTGGGCCGTTCTAAAGAAATGGAAAAAATCTTAATGTAGGGTTAAATGTCACTCATTTGCCGTGACTCAGGGGCGTATCTTACATTCAGAGCTACATAACGCTATGAGTGGTACTGTGTGCTGAGGATAAGTCTGAGCAGGCCCTGTTTGATTTGCAGTGAGTAAAGAGGTAAAGAACGAGTTTCAGATATGATGCCCATGACACATATGGTTACTCAGTGAGAAAGATATGTGGGAATGTTTAGCAGGAACTCATTATTGCTGGTAAAACCCTTGAAAGGTTCACACACTAAACTACATGCATATACTTTTATGTGCAGAATATAAAACATACATCTGTCCTTACCAAAAACAGTGACCTGGGCAGTCTCACTGTCCCTTTCTCCCACCATGTTGGTGCCCACACAAACATAAATGCCAGCGTCACTCTTCCTTGTGTTTGAAATCATCAGCTTGCCTCCCCGAATCTGCAATGAAATACACAATCACAGTTCACATGCACTGGCAATTAGCCTTTCACCACTGTGTTCTAGACTTATTATCATTCAGCGTTAGGATTGACTTTTAACTAAACTACATGTGTAAAAGAAGCACTGTGCTGCCTTTGAAATCACATTATTTAAGGTGAAAAGTAGATTCAACAACAGAAACAGTTTCCTTTACACCTCAGTGTTAAAGGATTAGAAGAATCCATGTCTGCAGACCTTGAGAGTTACAGTATGCATCATCAAAACCATGAAAAAAAAAAAGCGTCAGCACTAGTGTAACCTCAAAGAATGCAGTGGCAGCCCAGGAAAGGCCTGCAGGTGCCAGCGCGTACCTTGATCCTGTCATCCTTCTCATCGATCCGCACTTTGTCCTTTTTCCAGTAGATGGTGGGCTCTGGGTGGCCGCGAGGGGGAACACACTCCAAAATGGCCGGTTCCCCCGCTGCAACCACCACATCTGTAGGATTTTGTCTGAAATCATCCCGTAGCACTGAAAGATAGAGAGAGAGAAAGAAAGAGATTTGTCATTTGATGGTTAGCATTTTTTTTATGTTGTTGTTAAATACTGCATGTATATCATTGCTATCAGACCAAAATCTTGTATGTCAGTTTCTCTTTTTTTTTCCTTCCCAGTTTGAAAGCATCAGCTGTCCTGGGAAAATGACAAATTGTCCAAAATTGAATTTTGGAGCAATATTTTGCTCATGATAACAAAGCTAATACTGCACTGAATTAAACTGAACTGAGAACGAGCAAGAGAGAGAGATTTCCATGAGAATAAGCAAATTACTCTATGGCAGGTTACACATGGCAGAAGGTGTCATAGATGTTCATTTTGATACTGACATTTTAAAATAACATTAGCAATAAGTTTAGCCTTGTAAAACACCTCATGCTGCTCATCTCTATAAATCATATCTTAACTTCAGACATTTATGTGGCAAGTATGATGCCATTTGAAGTTTCATTTGACTGGGCAAGCACAAGTAAAAGCTAATTGGACTTAATGGGCCTCCCTATGGAGACAGCAGTACAAACACAGAGAGAATGCCCTCAAGCTTACTGTCACTCATATGTGGGAGAGAGTGCGCACACACGCGTGTACACACAGTCAGTGGGTGGCTAAATCAGTGCACACTGCTCTCTAATCACCCTTAGGTAAACTCTTTCATCTCACAGACTGGGTGTCCAATCAGAAAGAGTGAAGCAAAAAGCCTAACACTCAAATGCAGGCAGGGGGTCACATCATCATCAACGATAAGCAAATAAAATAAATAAATCAACCAACCTGTACCACTATAATAACCATGCCTCTGAGGCAACACTGCGGTTATTACAGGCTGACATGTTTATTTGTGTCATACGTAGATGCGTAATTATAATAACAGATTTTCACACCTTTATCGCTGTCGTATCAAAACAGAGTACCTAGCACTTATTTATTTAATTTTTGAAAACACTGGCTGTCCTTTACACTGTGTAAACAATTTGTGCTAAATGGATTGAACAGAAATAGTCCAGAATTACTTAAATAAAATCTTATATTAAAGATGAATTCTACCAATTACTCATTTCAATCATTTAATTCTTCAATCATCAATTTATAACAATCCATAAAATGTACACAAAATCATTCAGAGTGGTTTGATGTGAACGTGCCACTCTAAAGAATCCTATCAAGCAAGAATCGTTCATAACGACGTGTATGAACGTCTGAATGGTTTAATGCCACTACAAGCCATCTCGCATGAAGTTATTACACAAAGTGGTTACAAACACGCTGTCTGATGTCTGAGACATTGTTTCACAATAGCTTTGAGAGAAGATTTTGGTTTAAAACATATTCATAAAATACATTTATGGCAGTGAGGGGCATACAGGCAAAACAGAAGCCTATGGAAGCCTATTTATAAAACTATAAAATTCAGAAGATGCGTAGGTTCACCTGTCTGAACAGCAAATACGTTTGTGTTGTGGACATCACAACCCCTGGTTCCCATCCCCACCACTGCAGCGTAATTTCAGTCAGTAAAGTTCTCTACAATGCACCATTCCATGTCAAACCACTCTAAATGACTTTGTGTACATGTCAATAAAAGAATGATGCAGACTTAAATTAACATATCCTAACTTACATTAAAGTTAGGAAAATTTTCTCCTTCTTCTGTTTCCATTTCTGATATATAAAGTCTTGTTATGACAAAGAATACCTTCTATTTGTTACATACTATAATAAAACCAAATTTATGTATACAGCAAGATTTTTTAAACCGAGTTGGCTGTGCTAGCAAAGAAAAATCATTCAAGAAATAAAATAAAAACACATGACGCATTCTTTGGAACACAAAAGTCCCTCTGTGAAATCGGCTTTTGCTCCGCATGCCACAAGCATAGAAAAGTTTGAGTGCTAGAGCTGCTCCTCTACACACATACAAACACACGTGCGCCCTCGAACCGAGGCATGAAAGCAGGATGGAGGGATGTGGGAGGGGTGTTAGATTAAGGGCTTGCAGGTTTCTAGCAGAAGTCCCATGTGGTTTGGAAGTGAGAGGAGACAGCGGTACCTGAATAACAGGTCCCAGTGCGGTGCCTCACTGCCACCGTTCGGGAGCTTCTCTCCAGTTTTATTTATCTGCATGGAGGAGACAGGGCTACGGGGCAGGGGAGGAGGTTGCCAAATCTACCCCATCATCACACACTCATGTGAAAAAGAACAAACCAGGGGATGAGGGGTAGATGCACAAAGAGTTTGGGGGGGGGCAGAAAGTGGAATTTTAAGCGGCTAGCATCAGCCTCGGCTTTGTGTTTTTAAAGAAATATATATATAAAGAACTTGCTCTTCTGCTTTGGAGCAATACAGCAGTGCTGACTCCAGAGACTAGAGCTTTGTCTTCCAAATTGGAACCCTGCAGTCTAAAAGCACTCACCCTGCTGGGGCATGTGCTTCATGCTGATGGCTGGGTTTAGCAACAGCATAACAGGCTAAGATGGGTTGTTTCTTTTATTAGTGATGGATCCATTCTCAATACGTACAGATTCATACCAGCACTGAATGTTGAGACGTTACAATGAAACAGAAACCGAGATCAAATAGAGGCAGGAATTTGTGAGTAAGGAAACACAGTTATTTGTGTGTGTCATTAAAATGATCCCTTACTGCACGATTTACAGATTTTATTCATTCCAAAGGTAATAAGATAGATATTTAAACAATAAGTAAGTGTAAATAGGTATTACATAGACATATGTTTTATTGTAGATAATGGGCAAAACTACACAAGAACTAAAAAGTCCTTGGACATACACTTGGACATCAGGTGGACGAGAGACATAATTGCATTTTCTTTCCAAAAATCCTCATTGCCCCTTGACTTCCCTCTACAGCTTCACTCTCTCTCTCTTTCTCTCTATCTCAGGATGTCTCTCCATGCCTCCTTGCTGATGAATATTTATGTATTTCTCCATCTCTCCCCCGCACGGCACTGAGAGCTGCATCTGTCTGAGGCTGGAGGCTAAAAAGGCCAAATCTTCTTTTGCTTCTATCTCTCTCTTCTTTTTCTCCTGCAGCGCTGTTGTTTGTTTATTTATTTATTTATTTATTTATTTGGGCGGTGTTGGGGGGGCTGGTAAGCAGGCTAAATTAGCAGTTTTGCCCTTTCCTTGGCACAATCTCAGATTCTGAGCTGCGAGGTGGAGGAGCGAGTCGAGGCGTGTGTGGAGAAGCATGGGATAGAAAGCTGAAACGAGGGACATGTGCCAAAGGAAGAAAAGACGACATATGCTACTCTGTGCTTAACTGTGTTTTTGCATACATATTCTCGCAAGCTGCGCCAAAGGCAATTAGAGCGTCTGCGTTTGTTACAGCACGCTGCGTGATTCAGTTAGCTGAATAAAGGAGCTGGGAGCGATTCGGAGCTACATGCTGTTAGAATCCCTATCAGATTCACCCACTGTCGCTGCAACACTTCAGCCGGCTGTGACCAAGAGCAACAGTTTTTCAACAGTTTCATAATGCCATGAAAGTCTATGAATGTGTTCCTGCTTTTAATAAGAGAACAAAGTGTGCCATTGGTGAAAGGAAATCAATCGGTACACCAGCTGTTGGACTGAGTGCTATGAGAATTTTACTCAGGATTATGAATCTGAAACAAACAAAAAAAAAAACAACAACAAACATTAAATTTACTCTTTTTCCCTTTCCAGACCACGCAGCCAACAGCGATCATCCACACAAGAGGCAGCAGAGGTCAAGAGTGGGGTCATTTTACTAAACACGCCTGCAGCCCTTTTGCACTTATACTGATTCTACCACACCGGTACACTGCGAATGCGTGGCAACATTCCAAGAGCTATAAGAGCATTTTCATTTTGAGCAAATTTCATGTTTTCTGATACGCCTACCTAAAAGTAACATACAGAGGGGGAAAAAAGAAGGGTCCCAGAATGGATCCTTGTGGAACTCCAAGGGTGATATCATATTGCTTTGATGACTGACTTCGATATGAACATAAAACTATTTATCAGACAAGTATGATTTGAAGCAGAATGGTCAAGAGTGGGGTGTCTTACTGTGGCCATACCTTACTCATATCAATCTTGACAAACCAGTACATTTTTTGTGTGTGAGTGCCCAGAGCCAAAACAGTATTTGAGACTACCTAAAACTTAATCATAGAGGCAAAAAAGCAGGGGCCCCAGAATGGACCCACGTGGAACTCCACAGATAATTTTTAATGCCTTCACAAGTTACTTCCCAGACCAACATAAAACTGTCAATCAAACATATATTATTTGAAGTGGCAAGGGTTAAGACTGGGGTCACTTTACTAAACATGGATACAGTTCTACTTATGGGTTTTACACCATGCCCAGTGCCATAACAGCATTCACTCAGTTGTGGGGGAGAAAGGGAGAGATGGATTCTTCTCTGTTTCGCATCATCATCGCCCCTGCAGTGCACTAGCTGTGAATGGCAGCTGCACAAACATTTCAAACACTGACCCTCAAACTTACACACACACATCCATAGAGTATCTCTGCTTTCCACATACACATCCTCTCATCTTACGCTATTCAGAAGCTGATGCAATCTTGGCAATGCTGTGTGTAAATCAGGGGACTGAACCAATACATAAAGCAGTCAATGGGAGAAAGTATGTGAGAGGTACTACTTCTTTTATGAAGCTTATGGACAAACAGAAATATTATAGTGTCTAAGAATAGAAAACTGGTTTCCTGAAGGGCAGAGTTCATTAGGCTACATGACACCTACATAAGCCTTTCATGATAGCTCATTAAAACTACATAAAAAATAGACATTTATATGGCTTATTCCAAACAAGCATAATACTGAGATGAAATGTAATTAGAATGGACAAAAGCAGCTTTTATGACAACTGACACATTTCGAAATAAGCCTTTACAAACGTTTATGTAGGTGTTTTTCAATTGTCAAGACAAGCTTACGTAGGTGTCCTGTAGCCTTACACA